TGATGCCAATATAATTAAAAGTCTTAACTTGTTTTTGTTTTTGTGGAATAAAGATTGAGATAGTTTATCCTTAAGAAATTCTCGTTATAGTACTAGAATAAAAATATTATTTTAAGTCACTTCAGTTGCTCATAGTTTTTACATTCATAACATATGTGCATGTACCTTTAAACCAAGCTTATTTTGATTTGGACAAAATATGACTTTGACATTAATTTTCTTATTTCACAATACATTTAATTGTAAATCTTAGGCTTCACTAATGCATGACTAGGCTCTGATTTTAAACCTCAATTTTGCAGAATCATAGTGACTCATATATCTATAATTTTAATAATAAATTACTAGAATAATTTTAAACTATCAATTAAATGTTATAATATGCATTTAAAATTTGAGGGCCATTGTTAATTGCAGTGAAAAAAATCTTTTATGTTCTGTGATTCACACTTTTACTTCTTAAAACTATTGTAGCAAAAGTATAAAAATTATACAGGTCGTTTGATATTCCTCAAAGGTGAATACAAGTTAATAAAATGTGAAGCAATATCGAAAAAAAGCATTTTACTTGTCTTTTTGCATAGAACTTTCTGTATTAAAATCCCAGGGTCAATTCTGTTAATGTTACTTTTGGAAAAAAGAAGATATTTTACAGGATTCAAATATTATTTTCATAATGTCCAGCAGTAAAACTTCATAATTTCTTGTTGCGGTAGAACCTTCATTGCTGTAAAAATAGGTTTTAAGACTTTGAAACACTTAAAATACAATCTATGCAAATGTACATATGAATAATAGCTTTTAAGGCTGTTAATAGTTTGCTATTTAGCAAACTGTTACCAACATAAGTAAATGTTAATATTTGTATTTGGCTAAGAGTAAGAACTAATGAGTAATTGACATTAATGTTAAATTGTCACATAAAACCACTTTAATAATGTTGCAAAAAATAATCATCTTTAAAGGATTCTCTAATGATCAAAAGCTATACTCCTGTTGGTGGAATATCTAAGGACTTGTAAGTTTTAAATGAATACTAACAAAGGAGTTTTAAGTCTATGTCCCTTGTTTATGAAGCCTGCTGCTCAACATTTCTTCCTTTACATTTCAATCCTGGTTGCTCAATTCCTGAGTCTCTACAAATTGAGAAAAAGAAAAGCCATGGCTGTCTACTGGCTGTCCAGAAGCCCAGGGTTGTCAAGAACCTCTGCTTCCCACTACTTGTTAGAAATTCACCCAGGATATCCAGTGAGGGGGTGGGGGAAGTCACTAGATGTAACCATTTAAGAAAAGATTTTATCTTTCTGGCTATGTAGTCTTTCAACAATACTTGAAATACAGCTTTAGGATTTTTCTTTAAACTGATTGAATGATTACTTTTCTTGGAGTAAAGACAGTTTACTGATGATTACTTAATGAGCAATTATTAATGGACTGTTGAGATGTCCTTCCAGCAGTGTTTTCTAATTGTAGGAGGTGGAATGTTGGTTGGAAATATTTAATTGGAATTTGTGGAGGAAATTAAGAGCAAGAACTTGTTCAAGAAAAAATATATATATATGTATATATTTTTTTCTAAAGGCCCCCTAGCAGGACATTCAGAGCTCCATACTTTTGAAGGATGGCCATACCTTTGAGAGCAAACTGCCTCTTTTCTAAAGTTTTGCAGTTAATAAAAATTAAACTACTTGAAATAATAGATGAAAACTGGACTCTAGAAAAGCCAAGCCCCATCCTTGTTTACAACAAACATAAAACCAGATTTCTAATCCGCCCAAGCGACAATCACCTATTGATTGCGACGACATCTGTGCCCCTGTTTTTGGAAGCAGGGTTTTCTGCGGAGGAAGGACTGAAAAATCCAACCATTCCCGTGCCCTGTGTAATACACAACTGGCAGATTTTTCAGGAAGAAGCCTGGAAACCCACACCTGCCTGTGCTCACTCCTTTCTTACCTAGGGATGAATATAATTAAAAGTCCTTCCTTTGGCCTTCAGAAGTTATTTCTTTCGATAATGCAATGTACAAAGAAGCATCTCTAGAACTCATACGGTACACTCTCGCAGACAAAGGGTGAAATGCTTTGTGCGCCACCAAGTACAACCTCCTCCGCCCCAGGCCAGGGTAAGCCACCGCTCTGCGTCCTGAACACAGTTCAGCGGTGGGGCAGGGCAAGAACTCAAAGAACAGAGCCTCTTAACCTCTTACCAGGGAGCTTCCCAGGGAATAAAGTCTTAAATAACCTAGGCGGAAGCGCGAGCAGGATGAGGGGGAACTGGGGTCCGGGTAGGTTTGCTGGATTGGCCCGGAGGGGGAATTACTCAATCGGGAACCACGTTTGAGTAGCACAAAGTGCCCTGACTCAGGACAGTTGCCAGCTGCAAACTGTAGAGCCAAAGCAACCACCAGACCACCTGGGGATGGGGAGGATGCGCGAGCGTGTGTGTGTGTGTGTGTGTGTGTGTGTGTGTGTGTGTGTGTGTGTGTGTGTTTTCAGCGCGCGATTGTGTCGGAGGCAGGGGTGTATGGGAGAAATGGAGTGGGCACCCTGTAAGGCTAAGTTCAAAACCCGCCCCTCCCCCCAAAGTTTAGTAGCCCTGCGCTAGGGAAAGGTGATTCCTTTTACCTCTTGTACCTCTCAAGTTCAAACTGAAGTTTAACCCCAACTCCCATGGGGAGTCTGCCTGGTTCCCATTCTGTCCTTAACAAACATCTCCTGATGGTGGGGCAGGGCATTAGAAAGGTGAAAAGACGCTGGAGGAGAGACAGTAAGAGGTCCAGAAAGCACAGCCAGGGAGGGTGCCAGAAAGATTTAGCCCTTACTTTTTCTCTATAAAGTTCTTTCCAGGCTTCCTCCAAGGAATCCTCTCAAATTAGCATTGATAAGTTGTCCTGCCAGCCTGGTGAAGCTGGTGCCCTCTGGAACAGGGTTATGGCCTCACACTATATTTCCCAAGGTAAGCATGAGGACTAGCCCTGGCTTTCAATACTTCAAGCTCCTGGAGTCCCTGAAGCAACCACCGCAGTGAACAGCAGACTGTACCCAGCAAACTACTCCTTCAGGAGCTAAGGGATCAAGGTACAACCCACACCTGCCCCGTGCCACTCTCCATTCTACAGTGTAAGAAGAGTGAGCAGTTTTTATGCTTGAGGTCCTAGTGCCTGGTATCAACTGAGGTGGCACGTGGTTTCAGACCTTCACCAAGCTGTAGGGGGCATGTTGTTAAGGGGAAAAAAAAATCGGGAAGGACCAACTGGCAGCTTCAGACTATGCAAAGAGGAACTGAAAGGAAAATGGATGGGATGGTGAGACGGGACCCAAAAAGAAAAACAAAGACTGGGGCGTCTCTCACTAAGTAAAAGCTCTCTTCGCAGCATTTGCCCAAGTACAGTTTCTTGAAAGAATCTGGATAGTGGAGCCTCTGCCCAATCTCCAACTGGGACAATTAGCTGGAGCCAGTGCGCACACACAGGTTGATCCCATACTTAGAGCGCGCAGGTCAATCAAGATCATCCCACCAGAATATCCTTGTCCCTCATCTACACTTTTCCCCTAGCATCCCATGGGCAGCCTTTCTCCGTCCCTTTTCCTCTTTACCTTTTCTGCCACAATCCCTGTGTGTGCCTTTGGGGTCAGACTCGGGGCTCACCGTGGACAGACTGGGTGGAGGTAATGCCCACTGCCTCCTTGAGACGCTTCTCGAGAAGCTTGAAGCCTGGGGTGGGAGTGGAATATAGCCTGATGGGAGGTGCAAGTATTTGCAGCCCATTCTCCTAAAGGCTTCCTGCCTAGACCTCATCTCTCTGGGTCCAGGATACAGGAAGGTCCGGAGCAGACCATTTCCCACTTTTTGTTGTCAGGATTCGGAGGGACTTGTGAAGGGGGAGAGAAGAATCCCCAAAGAACAACAGGGTAGCCAGGAGGAGAGACTCGGCTGTAGGGATGGGTGCCCAAAGGTGCTCTGATCCCCATATCAGGCGGGCACCTGGCCGCTTCTTGAAGAAAGTGTGAAGTTGTGGCTAACCAGAAAGTGAGGGAGAAGGGGCCCGGGCACAGAACACAGGAAACCTGGAGGTCCCTGGTACTACAGGAAAGGAAACGGACAAACTGACACTCCAACTTCCCTGGTCAGCTTCTCTGGTAGTCCAGGGTGCAGTCAGAGCAGATGTCCGGCCTCTGTCCCTGTATGCTGCCCCACAACCGCCAGTTTGCCCCGGGGTCCCACCGCCTCCGCCACTGACCACCCCGGTCTTGGCAGGAAGGCTGGCGCAGCACCAAGAAGAGAAAGCTCCGGATTCCTCTACCGCTGCGGGCAGTGCGGTCTCTAATCTCCGGAACTTTCTCAGTACAACTTTTTTTTTTTTTGTGGGGGGGGGGGGGGCGGCGGTGCGGGGAGTCGCTCTTGTTCCTGGGCAGCACTGGCCAGGGCGCAGCGGCGACCTGAAGGAGCGTCCTGCATCCGCGTCCAGTTCGGCTACGCCACCCCTCTACCACTCCTGGGAAGGGAAGCGTCAGCTGGCTGGGACGCTAGTGGGCCTTGTAACCTGTCAAGTGAATGTGCCCCAGCGTGTTCGCCCTAACGCCCTGCACACCCACCTTCGGCCGGCGACCACTGCGTGCGGTGCGCTTTCAGTTACCTCTACCCGCAAACATCTCTTTCCCGGCTCGCCCTCCATCCTGCCTCAGTTTCCGCACCCGCAAGCAACACGCAGAAAAGATTCCCGGTAGTAACTCAAGAACCCGAGGAAGCAACTAGCGCTGTTCCCCTCTCCAAAAAAGCGCCCTCCCGCGTTCCTCCAGAACTCCCGAGAGGCAGCAAAATCTTCCCACAACTTTCTACGCCCAGGCCATTTGCAACCCCACCTGCGAACGCGAACTCGGGAAACTGCGCCTCGCCAACCTCTTTCCCCTTGGGCTGAGTGCCCTCCCCTCCCCCATCTCCCCATCTGGTTAGAGTTGGCCGGACGGGTGACCCAGGGCGCCCGCAGGCTCGCTTACCTCGCATGGTGTGGCCGCTCCCCCGCTCCGCGTAGTCATGAAGCTGCTCCCAGCCCGAACCCCAGAGAGCCCAAAAATCCCGCTCAGCACGAGTGAAGGTGGTCGGCGAAGAGCTGCGCTGCCGAGGAAACCATCCCTTTAGGCGGACGCTGTGGCCTCAGGGTGACGTTTGCTGCCGCCGCCGCCGTCGCAGTGTTAACAGTTTTGGTGTTGGTGACGGAGACTGTTTTGATGGTTGTTTGTTTGTTTGTTTGTTTGTTTTCAGGAAGGGCGAAAAAATGTCCTGGCTGCTGGTGTCTGGGTTTTTGTTTTGCTTTTGTTTTTCTTATTTCTTTCTCTCCAGTGTGCTTGCTTTTTAAAAATGCCACCGCCTCCGGCTCGGAAGATTTCTTTTGTGATCACTTGGACTGAGGAGGAGGAGGAAGGGCAGCAGGAGGAGGAGGAGTTGGTGGTGGTTTTGTTAGTTACAAAGAAGAGGGAGAAGGAGCAAGGGGAAAAAAAAGAAACAGAAAGAAAAGAAAGAAAGGCGGTGTGGATGGCAGAGCATGTGCGTTTTCACATGACATCTGTGCCTGTTAGCGGATCCACAATGTGAATTTTCACTGTTCAGTTACCGAGAGGAAGGGAGCGAGAGAGAAAGAGGAGAGAGATGGAGAGAGGGAGCTGAGAAGGGGCTTATACGCGAGGGCGGGTTTGGCCGCGACTTCCAGGCCCCGCCTCCTGTCAGCGCTGACGCCAATCAGCTCCCGGCAGCGTTTGGAGAGGCTGGGACCTCGGGGGAGGGGACGCGACCAGAGGCCGAGGGCGGGAGTTAGTGACACTCACTGGAGTCGCAGGCCGCCGGGGCAGCAACTGGGAATTAGAGACTATCCGAACAGGGTAGAGGAGAAGGAGCGACAGAGAAGGTCAGGCAGATCTGCAGGTGACATTCTTTTCCAACTCCACTAGTATGGAAGGGGACACTGGGCAGTCCTTCCGAGGAAAGAGACTCCGTACTCTCCAGATCCCACCTTCCCTCCCTTGCGAGACATCTGTGGCCCCGCATAGTTAGTTTTGAATTTAAGGCAGTGCTTTGCAGAGTTCTTTTTCGATAAACGCATTTTTTTTTGACAGGGATTTCCATGGCAGGACGCTTCAGTTTAAGTGGTAGAAGAATGCAAAATCATTTCCCCCCCCCCTCACTTTTAGCATAACTATGATCAATTCCATGCAGGTAGTCATCAGTTTTCTTTAAAACACTCTTCAGCTGCTCCTTGCTTCCCTTTTTCTTAAAAAGATTTGAAGGAAGGAAAGAAAGAATTTTTGAGAGAGAGAGAGTGTGTGTGTGTGCTTTTGACAAGGAAATTGTTTTTTATTAGCATTTGAAGAATCCCATGGTAGTGGGCTGCTGGACTCCAGGATAAAGGCCTACATTGGCAGTGTGATCCCCTTAGTGATGGAGCCACCTAACAAAGGTAGGATTCTGTTCTTTTTAGTGAATGAAGGTGTCAGGACTTAAGAGGAAGAAGCTGTTGATTTTAGTTGCTCTCTGAAGACATTTACCTATTTAGAGGAAAATAAAACATGGGTAAGTTGTTTGTATTCCATAGGTGAAATTTGTCATCTATGACCCTTCATTTGTATTCTGATAAAAATGTAATGTATATATCAAAACTGTTCCTTTGCAAGTCTTTCCCTTTCTGTGGACAAAATAAACATGTCCTTTAGATGATTACATCTACTTCCTTCCCTACAATAGGGAATTTCTTAAATACTTTGGTTAATTGGTCACCTTAAAAGACAGGGAGATGGAAAAAAATTGTCAGATTTACTCAATTTTAAGGCACTGAGACATATACTTATTAGTGTACCTTTAGGCAGATTTCATCATAATTTAGGTACTCAGATAATTTGATTCTTACCTGTATTCATAACGTGTCAACTAACACAAAATATGATGTAATTACATAACTCTACACTGCTAAGTAGTTTTCCCTCCTGATTAAATGAAAAATGGGTTTCTTGCTGAAACTTTAGCCTTGTTATATTGACACAACCTTGCTGCGTGCCCTTCCATTTGCAAGCCATTGTGTAAATTAAGACAATTTTAGTATTAAGAGTGAAAGTTGATTGAGTCATTAATTAAATAAAGTGAACAAAAGGAAGTTACTGTTCAGAATAGTTATTCCCTTATAAATACCTTTCTCCTAGATTTGTAATTGACACAGTAGTTAATCTTTTAAGATAATATTTAAGGCTCTCTGGTTTTATCATTTTTAATCAAGTAAAATATATTCATCATAACTACATTAAAGCTGCACTAAGTTATGCCTAATTTAGTTGCTTCATTAAAAATTACTGCATATAAAATAGTCAGGAAACAAATTGTGACTATATTATTTTAATTTTATGTGCTTCAAGCAGAGACACAGGAATATTAAAAATTTCAAAGCCTTTGTAAACATTGTAATTATTATTGTTATTATTTTTAGATTTCTATTTCTCATTACAGTAAAGAGAAACTTCAAAATTCAAAAATTTTAACTCTTTTGTGTCTTCTTGAGTTGCTGTTTATTGAATTCTAAAATTTGCTTTTACAACTGAAGTATCTATTATCTTTGAAAATGATAGTAAGTATATCTGAAGAGTACTTACCCCTTACACATTTTTATATGCCCTTTGTTTTATGAATTCAACAAAGAGTATTTTTTTGTTTAGAACATACTTCTTGATTCCTTCTGAACATTTTAAAAAGAAGTTGTTAATGAGAAATGAGAAATAATTTGTTTTTAATTTTTCAAAATCGCATTATACATGGTGATATGAAAATATTTTCTCTTTTAGAATGATCAGGGGTTTAGATGTGGTAATCTATGACATTTGGATCTTCCTAAAAATTTAAAACTGAGTTGTTCATTTTTTTCTAATAAATTTCACATTTATTTCAACTCACATTTATGTAAAGCAAATATTCAGTATTTAAATGAAAGAAGTCATCGTTTTCTAAGAAATTACAAAATACTAACATGTCAAGTGGTTGTTTTATTACTTGTGAGCAAATATTCATTTTTCAAGTGGTATAATAATAATATAATATCCTTGTTCACGTGAAGACAATGTATTAGTTATATTTTCATCCCTGTGACCAAACTACCTGACAAGAACAACTTTGAGGAGAAAAAGGTTATTTTGAGCTTACTCTTTCAGAGATTTGGTCTGTGGTGGGCTGACTTGATTGTTCTGGGCCCAAGATGAGGCAGAACATCATAAGGATGGACATGGTGAGGAGAGATGATTTGTCCATGATGGTGAGGAAACACAGAGAGAAAGGGGAAGGTGCTTCAGGGAAGAGGAACCCTTCCAAGGGACATGCCCAGTGATCCATCTCTTTTCAGCCACATCTGACCCCAGTTACCACCCATTTAGTTCACTCAAACTAAGATGGACTGACTAGGTTACAGCTTTCACAATCCAATCACTTTACCGCTAAAACTTTCTATATTAACGTAGGAGCATCTGGTGAACAATTCATTCCAAGCCATAACCTATAGAATCATTAATTTTATTTGAATAATTTCCTATAAACTTGAAACTTCACTTTTGTCTCTGGACCTGAAGAATGTTCAAAGCTGGTAGTTCAATTCTGATTAATTTCAATGTCCATCTCAGTCACACAGGGCTGTGCTCAATCTCAAGAATTGATGTAATTTCAACTAAGTGTTGCCTGCTTCTTCTCAGTCTAGCTGCAAAGCCATGTATAATGATAAGAAGTATCATCAAGGAGACAAAGCTTTAACATGAGCCCACCAGGTAGGGTGTTCTTGGTATTTAGGATCCTAAATGCTTGAAGCCCAAGAGTAAGTCCTGATTCATTATATTCTGAGATGGTCCATCTATACATAGAGAATATCTTAAATAATTGTGAATCTTGGAGAAATATTGACAATATTGATAACAATACTACACTAGGAATGTCTGAAAGATTTGAGTGTAGTTAGTCTAGTTCAGCAGGCTCTGTGGTTGTTAAAGTTGAGAAAGAGATATAAAGCTACCTTTAAATATTGGGAAGGACAGAATTTTTGACATTTGAGCCCATTAGAAATGGAAGGAGTAAAATACTGAGCTCTCTGTTGCTGAAGACATTGGTAACAAATTCTGATTTTTGTAATAGATGAGAAATTGTATCTCTAGATATATTTACATTTAGGAAGTTACCACTGCCTCAGGAGCTATACCAGAATTTTTCTTCCTACTTGAGGAGGTCAGCTCCCTGAGAGCAGGAGCAAGGATTTCCAGAGCTTCAAAGAGCTCCTGGTTAGTACTTGATAGGTGCTTGACCATTACTGATGGATAGAAAGCTTCCTACTGCCTTTTCTGTGGGAATTGAACCACAAATTGGGGCAAAGATCTGAATAAGATGTTTTCTGTCTTCATTTCTGAAAAATAGGAGAGAGAGAAATAAAGGGGGAGCAAAAATAATGCTTGAGATTGGTTACATAATTATAAAAGAAAGCTAAATTTAGTTTCATTCATATTAATTGCTAGTCTCAACTTTATTCATAAGTAGAGAGTCTTCATAATCTATTAGTACTTTAGTTTTGGTTCATTGTGAAATGTGAATACAAGCTAAAAAGTGTTCCAAATGAAAAAAGAAAATATTAAAAATCTGTGGTCTGTATTGTATATAATAAACTGGAAAAAGTATCATGGGGCCAACATAAGTTAAGCTCATTTTGTGGGACAGACATGAGTAAGGTCCACCTCAGGAAAGGGATTGAATACACAGGAGGAAACTGTGGTCAACCAGTCTAATTTTTATTTCCTCCAAGAGCATACAGGTTACACATTATATGTCCTCCCCGCCCTTACCACCCCATCACTTTTCCTCCCAGATAAAGGGACAGAGACTTGGAACAGTTAAATCACTTGTCTGAGATCAGAAATCTCAAGATGCTGGGTCCAGGACTCAAACCAAGATATAACTAATAAAATATAAATTCTATAAGTACAGGAATGTTCTTGATTTTATTTGTTTCTGTGCTGAGTTTACAGAATCTAGAATCTTGCCAGGTAAAAAGTAGGTGTTTAAAGTACGCGTGTGAAAGAAGACTTCAATACATTTAAACCCTATTCCACTGAGCAGTACTACATACCTACAATCTAGGCACTAAGTGACATTACGTAAAGAACAGTGAATTTTGACATAAGAAATAAAAGGTTACTGTGAAAATTTATAAAACAATAATAGCTTGATTTGGTTCATCATGAAGTTTAGGAAAATACGTTTGTAACAAATATTTCATGTCATAGATAAAATGAGCCTGAATTAAATTGGCACCAGTAAAAATAAAAAAAAAAAATCTCAGGATGCATTTTGCCTGCAGAAGCTACAGTGTTTAGTGAATGATACTTGGGGTTGTGTGAAATGTGTTGGTAAAAGTTAGGGGGATGTCAAACCAAAGCTTCATGAATGAATGAAGCTCTTTATCAGATCTTCTTTTTGTTTTCTTTATAGCATAGAGTATTAATAAACCTCCTATTAATTGAAATAAGTAAAGTGGAGTTGATTTTTTTAAATGGGGAGAAATATTGAGATTCATTTTCAGTTTGGGTACATATCAGTGATAAGGTACAGCAGAGAGCTGCATATATTGAACTGGAGATTGAAATTGGTTACAAGCAAGAGTAATGATTTATGAGACATTCAAAAACACTGAAGAGAAGAGAAATAATATAAGATTTAAATGCAAATAAATAGGCTAACAAAAATAGGATTGTATTTTGTGTGTATTTATATAACTGTGGATAGTGAGAAACTTTTCTAAATCAGGAAAGCAGGCACTATAAAAAATTTAGATATATTTTTCTTTACATAGATTAAAAAGTAAATATTTTGAATGTCAAAAGACCCCAAAACAACATCAATACACTGGAGAAAATATTTGTTGCACACCTGACAGACAAAAGTTTAATATTCTTTATAAAAAATATATGCAAACTTTAAAATCAAACAAAGACTTAAACAAAAACCACCAAAACGCTGAGGTCAGTGAGAAGAAACTGGAGATAATTTAGTGGATAAATTTTCTCTTTATTGTATCTGCTACAGGTGAACAATTTTTCATATTTGTAGTTTCTTTTCAGACCACTCAATGAAGCTTTAACATAATTTTTTCATGTTTGTTAAAATATGAATTAAAACACGTGTGCAATATTTTGTATACCTTTACTGTTGTCGCTGATTATTCTCTGAAATTTATCTTGAATTGGCTAATTTCTCTGTCTTTACTGTATCATCATTTTACGCTCTTATCCTTTCTCCCTAGATGAGTATACTATTCTCAAATCTGTCTATCTCCATTCTTGCTCTTTACTCCATCAATTTTCCAATTGGTAGTTGGAGAGATCTTTAAGAGTGTAAGTCAGATAACAAGTCCACCCCCCATCCCTGCTAAAACACTTTAGAGTCTTCCTA